TGCTCTAAATTTTGCACTATTATTTTATATTTGTACCAACTTGATCCTTGAACTAACTATATTAGGGGACAAAATTAGTTAAGGATATGACATTTTTTATGTACATCTAAGAGTTAAAGGATGAAAAAAATACTTAAATTAATTAATTCAATGACAAAAAAGTGTAACTTAACAAACACTTGTTTTAAAAATAAATCCTTCTCTTACCAATTTAAATTTTTGTTAAAAAAATTCAAAAATTGACTTGCTTTTAAACAAGTTTTGCAAAAGTTTGAATGCAAAAATTTTTAAAAACTTACTTAAAAACTATTGTAAAAACTAATTTAAAATTTTTAAAAATTAATTTTTAAACTCTCTTCAAATAAAATTTTAAATTTAAATTTGTGAGAAAATAATTTATTTTTCAAATAATTATTTTTTAAATTTTGCTAAACACACTTTGTCACCATGGAACAACACTGAAAATTTCTTGATTCAAGATGTGATTCTAATTTGGTATTTTCCATCCCTTTTACTAATAAAATACAAGACATCAACAAATAAATTCCCTCGTCCAAGCAACAAGAATCTGAGAATCTTAGGCAATATTCCCATATATCATAATGAAAGCATGACATAGTAAAATAGCAATTTTTACAAAAATTAGAACTAACAAGCAAAAAGACTAGCCATCTCCTCCATTGAACTAAATCCCAAAAAAAAAAGAAAAAAATTCAAAAGAAACGAAGGCAAAGGGAAGCACATGACGAATTTTCCAAAACCCACCCCATTGCCCAGGAAAACTTCTTTGTTTTCCCGATATAGGAAAGGCAAAAGGTGCAATTCAGCTCCTCTACTTGCAATGTTGTGGCAGATCAGCCTCTTTACTTAAACCATGGCAAATCAGTCCCTCTACTTCATGATATCTGCAGAATAGCCCTTTCAGTAAGAATGATGTCATCCAACCGTTAACTTCTTCCATTGCCCGTTAAAGACTGATGAGGTCGTACTGATTGGGTGCTGCTTGAGCGTTGACATCGACCAATTCACTTCACCTGAGTTAACTGTAATATTTAGGGAAGTCTTCATTTTTTTGGAACAGGTTTAGACCTAAAAGAACTCCACCAATGCGGCTCGATGGTTGCGTGCCTCATTTGAAGAATGGAATGTTCATCTGATCTGAAAATTGAATCTCCGGTTACTAATACTTAATTACAATTAACTTCTTAACTATTACCCTTGTCAAAAAAAAAAAAAAAGATTTAGACTTGAAAAATAAACTTTTAGCAAAATTAAAGGAAGAAGTACTTGATTATAAAAGAAATAAGAGTGATTATTTTAAAAAGTAATTGATTCTAAATTAATGTAAACTATTATATTGTTAGAAAAGTATTTATTAGTAAAAATTATAAAAGATTCTCTTATGAATATAAGTGACTATATGGAATTTAAGCATTTTTTCGGCTACCGCTTTTAGAATATGGGTAACAAAATAAGTTTTTAATAGTATGTATAAATTATAAGAAAAGGTTTTTTTCTCTTTATTTGAAAATAATAGTCATTTTTTTATTTTATCTTTTAAAAATTAATGAGATTGAAAATTCATTATTAAAATGAGTAGAGATTTATTTATATAAATATATTTATATAAAAATTTTATA